AGGATTTTTTGACCCTTTAACCTAGATAGATACAAAAATCTAGAGTTCCCAAATCATTACTCATTTCAAATTGGTCCATAAACTTTTGAACATTTCAATTTCATCCTTAAACTATGACTATCATTCTAAATTAGTCCTCAAACTCTAAACATTCTATTTTCATCCCTAAACTATGAATCTCATTCTAAATTGGTCCTTAAGCTTTTAGATTTTCCAATTTCATCCAAATATGTAATCCATTTCAACCATATTTTAACCAAAATTTTATTTTTTAAAACATATACTAAAATAACTCGGCCTAATGATTTTATTAACAAGAGATGTGATTAGTGTATACGTATAATTTAGGATAAAATTGAAATATTCAAGAAGTTTGGGGATCAATTTAGAATGAAGATTATAGTTTGGGGATGAAAATAAAATGTTCAAAAGTTTGAAGACTAAATTAAAATGATAGTCATAATTTAAGGATGAAATTTAAAATTTTAGAAGTTAAGGGACCATTTCAAAATGAGGGTCATTGTGGACGTATGATGCAATTAACTCAAAAATTAATGAAAGCATGAAACAAGCATTTTTTTCCTCCCTAAATTAGTTCAATATAAAAAAGGGTAAATTATACCATGGTTACTTATGTTTTCGGTTCGTCCGATTTTAGTCACCGATCTAAAAAAAGAGTATTTTTTCCTTACGTTCCCTATTTATTTGATTCTAATTTTTGTGTCGTTAAGTCTAGTTAACCTATTAACGGAAATCTAATAAAAGTGACCGTTTTTATTTTTATATTTTAATTGTCGAGTAAAATTTCTTTTAATGGATTAACGAGAACTAATGATCAAGGAATTAGAAGCAAATAAACTGATAATGTAAGAGATTGAAATTATATATATTTTTTAAATTGATGATCAAGGTCGGATGTACCTAAAACATAAGGAACCACCCGTACAATTTACCTCGTAACAAAGTTTACAAACATGTTGTGAACAAATAAACCTTTTAGAGAATTGTAAGTTATGACAAATGCAACACACAATATGGTAACACAATAAAAACAATTAAAATAACAAAAATTAAAATAGAAAACCCAAAAATGAGTCAAAACATACATAAAACGAATCATTAGCATGCAAAATCTATAAATTTGTAATACTTCAAACATGAAAAATAACATCAATATAAACATATAAAATAATTTTTCTTCTTATTTTCTTTTTTTTTTGTTAAATTTAAAATTGAAATATTTAAAAATACAACATAAATGGCTGTCCCTTGTTCCCATATGTAATGGGGTAAGAGAAAGGTAAGAAAGTTGATTGCCCCCAACACTAGGTTGAGAGCAACTTCTGTAAGAGACCTCCAAATTATGAAATGTCCTCCATGAGACTCGATACCACGACTTAAAAATTAAGAACCTTGTGCTCTACCAACTGAGCTAGATGATCATTTAATTTAAAAATACGACATACAGATATTATATAGGGTAAATAAACAAAGCTCCTATGATTTTTAGTAAACGTAACTGCAAACCAGGAGATCAACTTTGAACTTGAAAAAACTGTGGCTGCTGGGATTCGAGCCCAGGTCTCCACGGCCACAACGTGGAATTCTTACCACTAAACTACAGCCACTTCATTGTTTCTTTACACATAATAATTATAATTATTTATTTCTCTTGTTTTGACATAGTCTAACTTTGCCATGGTCATGAGTGTCTTGTAGTGTGTGTATAGTGGCTTTATAAAAATAACACACATTATATGTTTCCCGTCTCATTTTGCACATACTTGACATGGTTCTTGCTCTCATAAACCAGTAGTGAGGGCAACAAGGAACCGGAATGCGGGGTTGTAGTGGTACCGAAACCGTGGTGGAGCCACCAATGCTGGCAGAGGAGGGAGTATAACTGGAAAACTCTCAGGGTGATGGTCCGGCTTGCTGTCCACATGCAGAAACATATGGTTTGCTGCTCCCGCACTTGCACTTACCATGTTGGCCGCAGCCATTGGCTAAATCTAAATGGTGTTCTTGAGTGGCGGCATTGTGGACACCTTGAGCGGCACCCCAGCTAGCTCCTTCAACGGCGGCCAAAGGGTAAACCCGGAACCGATCGGCTACACGGTGCAGCCTATTTATTCCGTATTCTACTGGACAACGGGTTCCGGGTATATGTTTGAACAAGTATATTTAAATTTTTCTAAGTTTTGAAATCGTATTTTCGTACTCATTTTTTATATATACAAAAGAAATGGATATCAAATACTTAAAAAAATAAATTAAGAAGTCTAAGGTAACACATTCAAAACAGTAAAAGCATAGAGCTTGTTGTTTCCACAAAATTTCAGAAAGGACATTCATAAGCAAAGATCATGAGATAAAACTATACCACTACACTCACTGCGGCTGCCGATGATTGATGAAGATCATGACTTTCTTACTTCAAACAGTTGAACGGAAGCATCAAAGATTAGAGACGTTAATCTGTCGGTTTATAGAAATTTCCAAACCGAAATCGAATGCATCGGCGTTCCCTTCCAACCGATGAGTAGGCTTTTCCTGTTCATATAGAGTGTAAAGCAAGTCCCACAGGAAAGACTTTTGAGAATAAGGTCTACCTGGTACCTGGATAGCATGCTTAATTCCGCCTCCTCCATCCCGTATCGAACGAAGAACGCTCCCCAAACATCGAACTTCACGTGCCGGACCTTCCTTTCGTCGCCTTCACTCACTATCATGTTCCGAATCCCCTCTCCAAAGAACACTGATTCTATGATCTCTCTGCTTTTAATATCATGTTTCATGCAAGTCGCGAGGCAATCGAAGTATGCACTGAAGAAAAACGGTACTTCGATGAAACTGTTCGCGAAGATTGGCGAGTTATGGTTGGCTTCGATTTCGGTTACCACCATTAAACAAGGATTCATAACTCTGAGTACCCTCATTATATTTTTGATCCGGTTCGGCATCACGAGCATTCTTCGGAAAGCGAATGCCGCATATGCCACAATGGACTCTTCAGCATCGATTTCAAAGAGATCTTCTTTAAGATCTAACATATCCGAGACAATAACAACCTTTAAGGCAAAGGGTATTCCTAAGCTTTGAGCAAAACCCGACAGCCTCTTGCCGGTGCCCTCAACGTACGCCTTTGCTTCAGTTGAAACGGCAGTTATTTTCAGGAGTTCCAGACGGCATTCGTGTCGTCGAGATGCAAGAGCTTGCATCAAGATAGTCCAATGAACACCATGCCTTATTTCAAGATCAATTATGTGAACCTTACATTTTCCACAATGGCCTGGATCCCTGCAAATTGTGCAACCTTAACAAAAGGAAGTTCTTGATGGCATGCCAGTACAGTCGGGTTCATGGACTTCATCGCCTCATCGGTATTAAAATACAGTCTCAACTTTGAACCCTCTTTCGATCTTCTCTCGAAGCACCTCGGTGAAATAATAGACTACTAGCTGAACCGGATTTCCGGTTTTCGACGACATGTAATCGCATTGTTTCATCAATCTGCTAGCACTTTCATTTTGTTGGTACCCTATTTTCTCCCCGATGGCTAGAAGAAGCACAGCAAGCTCGACATCTCTTGTCTTCAGGTCTGACAATCCCGAAAAACAAACATTAGAAGGATGATCAAACATGGAGATTCCATCAACAGTTTGGCCACATGACTTTATAAAAATCTCTCCAGCAATCCTCGTGATTTCTTCAGTCAAAAAATTCCGGTTTTCATCATCCCGAGCATCGGATACTGTTTCATAATCATCGGTTCTTTCCCCATGCAAACGTTTGAGTTCATTGCCATAGCTGTTCAGCAATCCAAAGGAAGATAAACAACGAGGCTGCTGTCTTCCCTTCTTTGTCCCATCAATATCCTCACCAACTCCATTGTTGATCCGACTGAGCTCCGCGGTTTCATTGAAACATGCCGGAATCAACGGAGATCGAGCATTGAAACTCACTCCATCAAGAACTCCATAACCCCTAAAATTCTGTTGCTGCTGCTGCAGTCCTTGTTTCGAGAAACTGAAACCTGTGGCAGCCATTGATTCATCTCCATAGAATTCATAATCAGAAGCCACTGATTCATCGCCATTAAAGCTCTCAAATCCTTTATCGGAAGAACTTAGCTTATCTGGAGCTGCATAAACATAAATTCATCCCAAGAATACATCATTTCCCATGGCAGACAGCAATGGAATCTAAGAGATCCCTCAATGAAACTATATAGAAAGCATTCAACAATTTCAACTATTTCTGTATGATGCATACGAGAAGATATTTTATGAACAACAAGCAATATTTTAGTATATTGTTCAACGAAAGAGTCTTATTGATGTTTCCAAGGTGGCCTGCACCATTGATGGAAATCAACCACATTTACTTGAATGCCACTAAGGTATCCGAGTTCAAACTATGTTACTCCAACTCGAGTATGAGTAAATTTCTTTTTTTTTTCTTTTCTGAAATACGACCGATACGGACGTTTCGGACATAAGTGATTTAAAAAATTGAGGTGTTGTAGTATTTATGTCACAATCTACCTGATATCGTCTTGTCGGGAAAGTAATGAATCAGACAATTGCATGGTTACAAGCACAAAGAAAAACATAAATGGCAAGCAAACAAGAAACAAAAAATATCAAATAGCTTTGAAAAATCATAAAGTAAACTTCGAAAAGGACATGAAAATGAGAACTTCGAAAAGGACATGAAAATGAGATCTTACAATGCAGCCTGCAACAAAGACTGGAGCTTTGAGATTGACAACCAAGCAATTGACTTACGTTTTGTCCTATGTAAATATTTCCATTGCCATCTCTCTTTTTTTAATGTATTAATGGAGGAAAATCAACTATTAGCTTAGTCATCAACTTGGGTCTTTTCCCCAATGATGATGGTGTCACAACTAGTTTTTTAAAATCATTAAAATTTTACCATCACAAAGCTCCATAAAGATCTTGTTCTTGACATAATTGGGATTTTAAATGGTGGGGTTTCTGTTACTGTGGTTAGGTAAATGAATACATCGTCCTCGAACAGACGAGTTCGAAATGAATACAATAGCAACAATGAGGGCGAGAGAGCTTGGTCACTCGATACGAGCTCGAACATTAGAAGTGACAAATGACATTTCAATGGTCACCTTCAATTCTCATCTCAAATAATACAATGGAACCATTTCCGCATCATCAGTGAAATCAAAGGGAGACATCTCAACATGCAGTCGAAGGTTGAGCCCTTGCCTGTATTGCTTTGTAGCAAGCAAGACTGCATAATGGAAGCTTCGACTTGGAATCTCGATACTTGTATGTGTTTGTACAATTTGGACCGGCACATTTTTCTCGGGGCGGTGGATAACTAGAGGGAAAAGAAATGCATAAATAACATGAAATTACTATAAAAGCATAGGCAGATGGATTCATAAGAGTACCTTGATGGTGCTGAATTGAATAGCTGAGGTAGACCGATATCTTCAGAAAATGTAACTGTTGTTCCACCAGGACCCATAACCCATCTCACTGTGTTTGATGCAAGAGTTTCGGATTTGGTAGCTTTTCCCTGCATTAATGACAGCATCAAAATGAATGAAAATAATGCTACAAAGCACACAGAATGATGCATGATACCTAATAAGGGTCACAAACCTGTGCCAATTCATCCCGCTGCTGCTTCATCTTATCCTCCTTTTTCTTTCTTGCGGAATCCTGACCGAGTATTTTTCTGATTGCCTCAGCCTAAGACAAATTCAAAGACCTACTGAATACCATTTCTCGAATGATCATGGAGCAACAGTAAAATGAGTCAAAAGAAATAGTGGGGAAAACCTCAGCATCACGAGCTGCTTTCTCGGACTGCATTCTACGTCTCTGTGCAGCCTCGGTCTTCTTCAACTGTAGCTCCACTTCAGAAAGTTTCTCCTTTTGTTCTATAATCAACAGTCATTATTAAAACAATCAATTTCGTGATCTTCAGCATTTAAAGCTCAAATATACTTTAAACACATTGAGGCTGAATTACCGATCCAAGTTATTAAAAAGGAGTTAAGTGAAAGGATTAAAGTAGGGGAAAGAACAAAGGGATGTAAACATAGGAGTGAGTGAGGGAATTGCTAACTTTTAGGTGGTGCAGGAGGTAAACCATCGGGGAACTCAACAAGACCAGCACCTGGACCAGATATTAGATCTTTCCCAGACTGAAGCGCACCAGTACGAGTAACGAGAGTTGATTCGGTTCTTCCATCCACGAACAAATCAACTGATCCCCTTCCCAGGCCCAGCTTCTTCCTTTTAGATCCAGGCTCATCATCAGATTCCCACTCGTCCTCTTCCACATAATCTCTATCCTCAAGAACAGCACCCTCTCTCCTATTTATCTCATCCTCTTCATCTCTATGATTCGAGAGACCGTTTGAAGTATTCAGTCTCCCTAGATAACGGATTTCCTCGTCGTCATCATCATCATCACTATTTTTGCCCACATCCAAGACACGCCTCTTAGGAACCCGCTTGCTCTTACGAGTTGGCTCAGTTCTGTCAGTTTCATTCTCAAGTGCCTTTCCCCTAGATGAATGCCCCTTTCCACAACCCGAGCCACTTCTGGATAAATCCTTCCATTGAACTCCATATCCTTCTCCCTTATCAGAAAGATGGGAGCCTTTCTTGCCCTGCAGTGATTGTTTATGCAACAAATCATCAGCTCACAAAAAGCTAGATTGCATCCCGAAGAACAAATGAGACACAATAAATTTACACACACAGACACGTGCGTATATACGACAAAAATAAGGTAAAATGACAATGAGACAAGATCAAAGACTTATTTTCCAAAACCTGTCCAAGAAACCTCTTCCCATTGCAATGACGAATGGAATAGAGAAGGATCAATTTCACACCAGATTCCTGATCATGACAAATAAATTCTATACAAACAATATAATCAGGCAGTGCTGTGCTCGAATTAGATGGAAATACCAGGAAAATGGACCTTTCTCTGGCTTGAGCAACTTCGGAGAAATCGGAATACTTAGTTAAGCTAGGGTTGCCGTCAAAGGCATGATCAGCGGTGGAGTTAGTGTGAATCGTACGCGTAACCCCACCAAGTTTGAGCTTAAGTTTCAGCTTACTCTCACTTCCAAAACCATTAGAGCCGTTCTTAAAATTTTGCTCTTCACTGCCACTACAACCTATGGTTGAAGTTGGCGATGACATTAAAACATGATTATACGTGAATGTCGGTAAAGTAACACGTGGACGACGTAACATGCCACTCCTCTTCTTCTTCATGGCACAGCTCACGACAGCTAACGACGACCCGACAAAGCTTTCCATAACAGCCAGGGAATCCAAGTCTTAAGCAGCAAATGAAACAAGTAAGCTCAAAAAAGACATTGAAAAACAATTAAGAAAGCAAATCCAAACAACAAAAGAAATTCAATAATCATGTTCACAATAAATTTTAAAAAAAGAACAAATTTTTTAGCAGATGTTAAATCCCATACTTCTTTAGCCAACTTGGTCCTTTACAAGTCGAAATCAATATTAATATAGTAGAAAATTTCTCATTACTAGGAAAATCAACCACACCCAAGTTTTAAAAAACACAATCCTAAATGTCTCCATTTCATATTTACCTACTAAGGAAAAGTTAAATAAAAAAACTAAAAACTAATAGTCACTTTGAAGCTCAAAATCTTCAATGATAAGGCAAAGACTGATTAAAAAAGGCTGCATTTTCACCCTAAAATCTACAACTTGGAGCTTAACAAAAGATATAATTTCCCAGAAACTAGCTTCAAAGTATACACATTTGAAATATCAAAAGCAATAAAAATCGAAGCTTGCTACCAGATTTTCCAAGTAAACAAACAAAGGGTAAGAAAACCGACAAAGAAGAAAATGAATAAAGAAAATGCAAACACTTACCCAATTACAAGAACTGAAAAGGAGAGGTGGACCCTTTACAGAGGGAGGGGATTTGTCAAATTTTCCTTTGCCTTTGTGTTTTGAAGAAAATTTGGGTTTGAGAAAGAGCAGAGGGTTTAGCTCTTACAGGAATGGCTTTGGTAAAGGATACTGTAAGCAGGAATTTCCATTTTTCCGCTCCGTTTTTATTTTCAATTTATTTCTTTCGCTCCTAAACCGTGGGCTTGGACCCACTTTTCTTTTGTTTGTTCATTTATTATTATTTGTTTATTTACCGGTCGACGGTGACGGGCATCGACAATCAAAGATAGATCAAGAGAAAACGAGTGAGATAATCGTCCCTAAAATTTTAATACTATTAAATACTTTAAAATTTTTTTATGTATTTTTATTGAAAAATTATTTTTTTCTATAATTTTATAAATTCAAGTTTAATCTTTAGAATTTTAATTCAAGTTCATCCCCTAACATAAAATTTTGTATTTATTCCTGACGACAATTAATGATAACCAACGACAATGAAGAGATATGGTTAACTACGTATATTTTATTTGGATTTAATGTCAAATTAATAATTTATATAAAGTTTAAGAGTTAAATTAATATTTTATGTAAATTTTAAAGTAAAATTGATATTATATTTAAAAATCACTAGTAAAGTTAAATTTTAAGGTAAATTACTCAAATGACCACTTAACTGTGGGGTTGATGTCGATATGACCATCATATTTTTTATTTTGATAATATAATCACATAATTATTTAAGTGGTTTTAATGTAGGCACATGCTGTTACAAAACGAATGACATAATTGATGTGGACAGAGATTGACTTAGACAAAGGCGATAGCCCCCTAAAAATTTTAAATTATCATATATTTTAGATTTTTATGTATTTTCTTTTTAAAAAAATATTTTCTCCTCCTGAAATTTTATAAGTTCAAGTTCACTCTTAACATAAAATCTACCTCCGTTCCTTTATGTGGGCCTCTAACTCATCGTCAGTCAATAAAAACCATATTAACTACATCTTTGTTTTGTAATGATATGTGGCTACATTGAAACTACTTAATAATTATGTGGTCATGTTGTTAAAATTGAAAGTGTAAGACCCTTAAACCGATACGAGTAACTTGATTCGATTTGAGGTGTCACATTAGGGCCACCGGAGCGACCCACAATAAAAATCTAGGAGAAATTCATTTTTTAAAACATGTAAAATCATAAAATAATTTATAAATAAAATACAAGTTCAGAAAACCATTTATATATTACAAACAGAATTAAAATCATACAAGTTCTAAACTCCGTATAAAATCAAATATGACCTACATGCCCCTAATTACGCTTGTACCGTACTCTACAAGCCAAGCTAAATGAACTCATTACTGAAGTCGATAGTTGTACTTGATCGATTCTTTTAACCTGAAATGATAAGTAAAAGAGTGAGCTTTGGGGAGCTCAGTAATACATACCTACCAGGTGATGCTGAAGGACATGCAAATAAATGACAAACATAAAAATTTTCTCATTGATTCAAGCATCTACATGTTTTCGTGATGAGCTGAGGTTCCACTGATATTTCTTCACGTATCAGACAAGTAACTTATAGCTCATAGGAAATATTTAGAAGATCAGGTTCAGAGATTGAAACATACGTCTAGTAAGTTCTTTCAAAACTAGAATAAAATGTAATTATAATTTTAAAACAGTAGTAGTTATTTCAGTAAAACATGTTTGTAAAATCACTGTAGTACCCTCCATCCAAATACTCAATGTGAAATTCCCCAGGACATCATCTATAAGGCCTCACCCTAGACTTCTAGGATCTAGGAGTCAAATATGAATGACCAGAATATAAAGGATTTACTAGCTAGCTGAACCTCAGAGACTCTAGAATCCTACCCAATCAATACCCCAATAAAATAGTTTCAGATAGAACCAATAATATCAGAAAACAGAAATCAGAATTTGGGTTTTTATTTAAAATACAGAGTTTCCATCCAACCGTACACCAAATGCAGTACTCGATAACAGGCTTCCATAAGGACTTACCCTAGACCTCTATGATCTAGGAGTCTAATATAATGATCAGAACAGAAAAGATTTACCAGCTAGTTGAACCTCAGAGTCTCCAACACCTACCCAGATAATACCCTAATAAAACAAATCATATATCAAATAATAATACCAGAAATCAGGTGCTAATTGTACCTTGTGTCATAAATAAAAACTAGATATCAGAAATCATACTTTATATAAATCAGATAAAACATTTTTTTCAATAGGAACATATTAGAGAATCCATATATTTTTCGAAAGCGCTTGGAAATTATCAGGAATAGAAAGTATGAACTTACACAAAATTGATCAGATTTCAGGATCGATGTCCCTATTAAAAGGGTTTAATTACTATCAGATCTAAACAAATATTCATAGATTGATGCTTTAGGACTATTTAGGATTTCAGGTGTATCAGAAAGATATTTAGGAACTTTTACATCAGAATAAATTAAGATTTCAGATATAACCAGAGCGATTCCATTATTTAGGCCATCAATGATATTTCAGACACTTTGATTTCTAGTATATTCTTAGCAACTTAATCCAATAAAAGTGAAATAATTATTTATGGTATTCAAGATTCATGTTGATTTATCAGGATATCAGGTCAACTTGAGTTGAACAAATCCCAACACTGCTATACCTGACAACCACTCGAATCAATACACTTCAAGAATATTCACACTTTAATACTGACATCACTAGTCGATCTGATCAACTTCGGAACCATCATTGAACGAATATTGAGGAACTGTACGTATTTCAATTGTATTTGTTTTATTTATATATTGCAACAGTCTCCAAGATGACCTACGTACTTGTGTATTTTCCATAACCTTTAGGGGTTGTTAAAATATTTAATACTTCACTAGTAATTTCAAAACTTATTTACAAACATTTCCTTAAACCATGTCATTAGGGTATTTGGGTCATTTCAATACTCAGGGTTATTATAGTCATTATATTTCGATTTAGTCTTATCATATAATTCAACCATTTCGAACTATTCAGACACAACTAATATGTTTGTTGGTTTAGTCTTCAGGCGTTTGCTTAGGAACATAACTCTAAGTATGCTTTCTAGGGCTATTTTCCACTTTGGGCATAATTCTCGTCTTTTTACATTATAAGGGTATTTTCGTAATTTTACCTAGCAGGAGTATTTACATAATTTCTTTTCCAAGTATTTCTGACATTTTACCTTTTTATAGAAGTAATCAGAATTTATGGATTCTTAGGTTACTTGAATTACCAATTAACCAATGAACTTGAAATTATTTCTCGTTAATCTTCTAGTTCCTTATACGAGTCTATCAAGTCTTATTCAATTTACCGCCTTTATACCGTATTCAGTATTAGTTTCAAAAACTCTTAATAAGCACGAGACCGATCATTTTCATTCATGAAATTATCAATTATCGACGAGTAAGATAAAGAATTCAAAAGGTAGTAAAGTATTACCTCGATTTTTGAGCCACACTAATCGACCAATTAAATCCATTTGGTCTCCCTTGAACTTAAATTCAACTCCCTAAAAAGTCTCGGATACATAGCAAAACAAATTACGTCAGAAATGGAACTTAATTAGGAAAACTATTCGAATCAAAAATTAAAATGCTGAAAAAACAACTTACCGGGTTTGAATTTGGCGAAACAAACTTCGAATTCGGACTAAAGACGTCGAAAAATATAAAATAGGCATTTTTTCAGAAAAATTAACTTTTTGGTCAAAGTCAAAGTTAATGGGTCTGGTCAACAGTTAACGGGTCAATGGTCGAATCAACGGGTCAACAGGTTGACTTGATCAACTCGGTCTGAATTGACTCAACTTCTAGAGGAATCAATTGACTCAACTGGACTTGAAGCCCACACGTACTGGTGGTTTGTGGCGGTGCGTGCAATTAGCAATAAAGACGACTCGACCTTGGAGTTTTGGCTTAGAGAAGTACGATTATCATATAGGAGAATGTACTAACCAGACGCCCTATGACAGTCGACTAACCGATCTATCCAGAAGGACTCGACTCAACCTATGATCTGATACTACTAAATGTAACAACTTAAGACTGATACGGGTGACCCGATTCGATCTGATATATCACATTAGGGCCACCAGAGCGACCTTAACATTTAACTAAACATTCACTTTGATCCTTATTATTTTTTGGAGCACCCTCAATATGTTATTTTAGAGTAAACGACCTCTATTTTGAAACATTAACCATTTCTTTAGTAATCCATCTATGAAGAGTTTTTTTTGGTCCAAAAAATAAAATGTTAAAGAGCTAAAATACTCCAAAAAATAAAATAAAATAAAAATAATAATTTTAATAAAATGTTAATTTTAACATTATACCTTTAAATTTAATGTCGATCAAATTGAATAGATCAAATTATAAAAAACATTAAGATTCATCTTTTATAATTATGGGTCAAATTATAAATTATGTTAGCATAAATAATTAAATTTATTATTATATAAGTATTAAGAGTTAAAATTATTATTTTTATTATTATTATTTTAAATAGTTTGATTATAAGATAATATATGTTAAGAGTTTTCTTAATATATTGACAATATATATTTAGGGAGAAGCAAGTTTTTTAATCAAAATAATAGATAAACTACATCAAATACCATCAAGCTTTAAACATTATATCATTTATACCACTAAACTTTTAATAGTACCAATTATAGTACTGAACTTTGATTTCCGTTTCAATTATACTATTAAGCCTTTATATCGTTAATAATCAAATCAAAACAACGCCGTTTTAGTGAGAAGTCTACGTCGTTAGTCTTCAACCACGTCATCATGTCGTTAACGTTTATCGATTTAGTAATATAATTGAAACGAAAATCAAAGTTTAATGCTATTATTGGTAAAATCAAAATTTAAGTGGTATAAATGATATAATCTCTAAAGTTTAGTGCTATATATGATGTAGTTTACCCAAAGTATAATTTTCAAGAACGTTCAGAATTTATATTATATCCATTGTTTTGAAAACCGGGCCGGCCGGTTCAACCGAGAACCGTTGCTTAGTCTGGTTCAATCTAGACCGGTTGAACCGCTACTAGTGAACCGGCCAGAACCGCTGAACCGT